CTAGCTTCTTTGTCGTGGATGGACGGCGCACGCTTATGACGTTTCATGCTTATGAGGCTGCGACTCAGCTCGCATTTTCATCGAACAATCTGCACACAGCGAACTTCATGTCGCACCCAAAGTTCATTAGGCTCGCGTCTGTTCAGAAAACTCTTCAGCGGAGTCCTAACTTACCTCCCAATCAGCACACAGAGTCGTCTCTCAGGTCAGAGCAAAGCCAGGAGTCACATGCACAGCACAGAGTCTGAACAAGCGACTGACTAAAAGCATGAAGCATTGATTTTTATGTACAGACAGTGAAGAGAAAACAGAAAACAGCCTCCTGCAAATGGGTGCGAACAGGCGCAGTTCTCATGGTGTTCTGACGACCCGCTGAGAACATCTTGTCCTTATCTCACACTCACAATGTTCAGTGGAGGTAGTGGACATTTCCTGCATTAACTCATAGACTTGTCAGAAAGATAACAGAGAATTATCCCAACAGCATCGTACCGTGAACTTTGGCACAGTTTGTGTCCGACCTTAGACTGATGTGATTAAGTATCAGCAGTTTAAGCTCAGATTTCTTTAATGATTCCAACAGAACTGCATTTTGGCGGCTTTCAAACATGCAATGCATCATATAAGGTATTTTTTAAATTGCGCTTTTACTGTGTAGCATCATTACTTGTGTCAGTGAAGTGTCCAGAGCAGCCCTGCACACTGTCGCAGCATAATGAAGTGCAGCACACAGCGCTGACCAAGCGTTCGTTTATTAAGTTGCCTGACAGCATTAAGGCTCGGACAGGTCAGCAGTCGGAGACCAAAATCAGAATAAGTGAGTTTAAAGCGGCCTCCTTATTCCCCTATATCCTCTCTCTGTTGTTTTATCTCCACCGAACCAGCAGCAGGTTGCTTTGAATTGTTAGTATTTGCTGCTTCATCTCCAATTTAACTACAAAAGCCAAACCTTTTTATTTTTTTTCTCTCTCTCCCATCCATCCTCTAATGCCTAACATAAACAAGCATGTTTTCTCTCTGAATAACCCCTTTTCAATTCATTCTTCACCTCAAACAGCGGGGGAAATAAATTTCCATTATTCCCTCAGTCGTCCCTGTTCGGCGGCGCTTCATTGTGCTCGCTGTAATGTGACTGTAATCTGCTGCCGCGTGTGAATGGGGCTTTATCGGAGCGGGGGAAAGTGTCTTCTTACAGGTTGTGTTGCAGTGGGTATTGAGCTCATTAAATGCTCCCTAATTCACTCTGTTCTGCCGGCGTCCTGGGCTCCGTGGCACCGTTCAATTGTTATTCAAATGGGGGGCGAATGCACTCGACGGAGGCCCGCCGAGACTCGCTGCCTTTTATGGCGACGAGACCGAATGCGGCACGAAAAGTCGAAAATCAAAAAAAAAAAAAAAACGCTCTTTTGTGCTCGTCGGCTGTGGCGTGGTTCACGGAGCCGTGAAGAGCGAGCGCCCCCGGAGAGGGATTTTAGTCCTCACTAGCTGCTCTGTTGTTTGTTTAGCCTGACTGCATGTTAAAGGTCCCATGAAACAGCTTTCGCGTCGCACTCCTCAGTCACCGCACGGGGAGGGATTCCAATTCAGAGAATGACAGTAAATTAACGGGCGTTTAAAGCAGCCGACAGCATGAAAACAATCTTTCACTTTCTTTGTTGTGGTTCTCTCTCTTGCTGCTGTGCTGGGACACAGTTTGCGTGGAGGCTGATGGTTTTAGGAGGAAACATGAGTTGTTCCCGTAATGTTGAACCGTTGAGCTTCAAGCAGTTTGGAGGACGCAGGCTGTGGTTGAAGTGTTTGGAAACATGTCGACGGAAGCATTTGTGCAGACGCTTTGTGGAGACGTGAGCATGAGAGGCTCCAGTTTGTCCAGAGAGCAAATACAAGAGTCCTGACGCAGCTCCAGATTAATAAAGATAGTGGCGTCGTGTAAACAAACTGGTATTTAAAGGGTTAAAACACTGACGTTCGCTGATGTATATGAAAAATTGTTCGTTGGGAGTGGAAAATAATGTTAATATGTGACATTGTTAGGTCTTTTTTTTGTTTATTGCTTGTTTTTGGATGGAGATATTTGTGTCTTTAAGGTCCTGATTGTGAGTTTTTATTTTAAAAAAATCAGACACTGCATGAATATTAATGATGCATAAGAATCAATATTGGTCCTAATCACCTCCACATCCAAGATCGTGATCATAGAAAAATCCACTTAGTACTTGTTATATAGGAAATAATAGATGTTTAAGATATTAGTGGTGTCATATAAACACAGTGGTGTTTAAAAGGTTAAAACACTGATGTACACTAAAACATACTGGTTGAAAGTGGAAAATAATGTAAATATCCAACATTTTACATCATTTTTTTTGTTTTTTTACTTTTTTTTGGATGAAGACATTTGTGTCTTTAAGGTCCTGATTGTGAGTTTTTATTAAAAAATCAGACACTGAATGAATATTAATGATGCAGAAGAATCAATATTGGTACTAATCACCTCCACATCCAAGATCGTGATCATAGACAAATCCACTTAGCACTTATTATAAGGGAAATAATAGATTTTTTTAACCAACAAAGACAGCAGTGGGGTCATGTAAACAAATTGAAAGCATTGAATGGGTTAAAATCTTGACAATGAATAAATATTTGGTCGCTTTGATCTGGACGAGGTTAAAGAAATAACTCAATAAAACTAGAAACCCTTTTAATATATATATATTTTATGGATGTGGTTCTGACACAAGCATTTTCGTCTTTAAGGTCCTTAATGTGACATAAAAAAAAAACCAACAGTGGCATCTTTACAGTGTCTTTATTTTTTAAAAGATTAGTCACTGAAAGTCAAAATAATATCTTAATGATGTTTTCGTCTTTCCTCTGGCCTTGTGGATTCCTGAACTCATGGCCAGTCACAGGATTCTGTCCTCATGAAGACATTTGGGTCACTGACCTCCGTCCCCGGTCCCTCCTTCACATCTCCATCCACCACTCCTCAGTTTAATATCTCCCATCGCTCTGACCGGTGAGACGGACGGGCCGATGGTGCGTGTTGACATTTAGCAGCGCTCCGCCCGCCGTAACCCGTAGTGGCCTCGTTCTCAACAGACGAATCGATGTAAAGTTGGGCTAACAGTAACAGGAATGTCAGATTAAATTGCAGGTTTGCGTTGAAGAAATCACAGGCGGCCGCACGAGCAGCGCTGGGTAATCAGTAACCAGGATACTGGTGTTTATCGTGTCCACGGAGAAATGAAGAACCCAAACTCATGTAAACACCCCGACATGATGAAACGATGGAGGCAGCTCATGAGTAATGTGTTCAATATCAGAGCTTCACGGACGGGCGTGTGCAACGTGCATGTTTTTATTACTCATAGAATCATTGTTATCGTCCACATTCAGGGAATCTGTATGATATTAGCAGCACTTATGTGTGTTTCTTGTTTATTTGTATTTTTACTGATGTTTCCTACATGATCCTCTGTGCTGCTATAACGCTGCACATCTTATCTAGTTGTGATCATAACAACCAAATATTTACCTGTTTCAGGATGTTAACCCCTTAAATGCCAGTTTGTTTATCATCGTATCTATTATTTAGTACCAACACTGATTCTTATGCATTATTATTTTTTATGCAGTGTCAGAGTCTCTATAAAAACTCACAATCAGGACCTTAAAGACACAAACATCTTCATCCAAAAAGCAGCAGCAAACAAAAAAAGATGTTTATGAAAAATAAGAGGCTTTTTTCTGAGGAGGGGTTTCATCCAAACATCAGGGTCATCATGTCAACAAACCAAACTTTGACTCTTTAGCTTCACCTGACAGGATTTTTGCCAAAGCTGAGTGCTCTCCTTCAGACTTTTATTTATTTATTATTTAATCTAAGAGCCAGGTATTTTCTAACACAGTTGTTGGTCTTTTGTGCTGATGATTCAACCAGGAGAGTTGAATCCCATCTGAACTCCAGAAGAGCTCCGAGTGTGAGTCACCAACGCCGTCTGTGGGGAGAATGAATGGAACGTTTACTTCTGGAGCACAGCTGGAGGGAGTTTATAGTTCAATTCAATTCAAATAACTTTACAGTCGTGACTCGATAATCCGACCCTTAACAATCCTAAACCTTGTTGTCCAGCAGGTTTGGAAAGATGAACAGAACCCATAAAAACAGCCTTAACATACCGACAGCCTTGGATTCTGACTCCGACATGACATTTAATGTCACCAATCAAGATGACGGCGTATTATCTGACTGAACAATCCCACAGATTGGCTACGTTCACACTGCAGGACTTGATGCTCAATGAGGATTTCTTTGTG